AGCTGTAGGAGGAGTAGGAGCAGTAGTAATAATAGCTGTAGGAGGAGTAGGAGCAGTAGTCACAGTAACAGCTGTAGGAGGAGTAGTGGTGGTAGTAATAGCTGTAGGAGTACTAGCAGTAGTAGTAATAGCTGTAGAAGTAGTAGTAGTAATATCTGTACGAGGAGCAGTGGTAGTAGTCAATAGCTGTGGGAGGAGCAGCAGTATTGCTATTAGACATAATGAATGACGTCAATGGTGCCGATGGATACAAAGCTCTGCGGTGTCACATGTCACCCTGATGTCGATCTGTGTTTCTTAAATCTCCGACTCGCTGTCTGTGTAGGAGAGCAGTGGGTGAGGCAGCCGGGGAAGGAGCTGAAGTTCTCGACTGACGACCTGTGACGAGGACTCCGGTCACCTGTCCCAGAGCTGGTGTTTATATCTGATTTCCAACTCTGGGCCTGCCTGTCCCTCTCCAGGATGGACAGCTCCAGTTCTGGTCCCCGTGTCCTGTCATTACTTAGTTGATCTAATTATTTGAATAATCGTTTTGGCTGCAATCAGCAAATGAAAGAAGCCCATCAATTCTGCTATATAGAGAAACTAATGATGTATATCTAATATAAATCGATGTATATTTTAATTGAGAACAACCCAGTGCCTTGTTTGGTAGTTAGGAGTTAATTGATCACAGGATCCCATCCAGCTGTATCTTGAGAGAAGCCAGGGTATCGTTTTCAACAACATGGCTGGGTAGCTTGTTCCACACTCCCACCACCATCTGTGTAAAGAATAGCGTCCTGTCCTGAGTGGAGTTTCTCACCCAGCTGTGTCCTGCAAGAAGCCAGGGTATCGGCTTCAACAACATGGCTGGGCAGCTTGTTCCACACCCCCACCACCCTTTGCGCAAAGATGCGACTCCTGTTATCAGTTTTAACTGCACTTGGTTTCCCCCTGTGCCTTCTGGTTCATGTGTCACTGTTGATCCTCTGACTTGATTTTGTCACTGCCCTCGAGGCCTTTGAACACTTGAATCATGTCCCTTCACGGTCTTTTCTGTTCAAGACTACGTTGGGAGAGTAGAAAAACTGCTTCCTCTCTTGCACATAAACTTCTCAGCCTTCACTTCCTCTGCCTGCGGTTCTGCAGGGTGTTGAGAGACTGGAGGACTGCAGTAGCGCGTCCCCAAGAGGAAAGACGCTCCAGAGCTTCAACAGAGTCAATGAGTTCATTAACACAGTTTTCATCACTTACCAACCATGAAGAGCAGAGCTGCGCCGAACAGACAGAGCACTGTCCTCATGTCGGGGGTGTCCTGCTGTGATCTCAGATTCTGTCTCCACCCAGGAGCTGTGGTATCTCTCCAGAATTCTGTCACACCAACCTGATTTTATTTCGCTTTACTCTCTACCTGTGTCTGTTTTTCCCAGAGTCCTGTATTGACCTCTTAAACGTCCTTGCTGTTTTACTATGTTGAATCTCAGTCCAGTCAGTGTGTCTGTATGAACCCCTCTCTCTCAGTGCAGTGTTAATGTACTGGAGTGTCCAGTCAGTGTGTCTGTATTAACCCCTCTCTCTCAGTGCAGTGGTAATGTACTGGAGTGTCCAGTCAGTGTGTCTGTATTAACCCCTCTCTCTCAGTGCAGTGGTAATGTACTGGAGTGTCCAGTCAGTGTGTCTGTATTAACCCCTCTCTCTCAGTGCAGTGTTAATGTACTGGAGTGTCCAGTCAGTGTGTCTGTATTAACCCCTCTCTCTCAGTGCAGTGTTAATGTACTGGAGTGTCCAGTCAGTGTGTCTGTATTAACCCCTCTCTCTCAGTGCAGTGTTAATGTACTGGAGTGTCCAGTCAGTGTGTCTGTATTAACCCCTCTCTCTCAGTGCAGTGTTAATGTACTGGAGTGTCCAGTCAGTGTGTCTGTATTAACCCCTCTCTCTCAGTGCAGTGGTAATGTACTGGAGTGTCCAGTCAGTGTGTCTGTATTAACCCCTCTCTCTCAGTCCCGTCTCTCTGCTGTGTGAGTCTGTGGGTGTCAGCTTGTGGTCCTGACGGTGCTGTGTTTCAGAGGAGGGAAGGGTCAGCAGGTACACAGACCTGTTCTGTCAGTCTCTCTTGTTGGTGTTTTGTTCACAGTCCTGAGGCCACGCCTGTTCTTAATGCAGACACAGCACAACTGCACCCAAGAGGGGCACACACTGCCTCACACACACTCACGCACTGCCCTACACATACGCACACAAAATCACACTCTGCCCCACACACACTCATGCACTGCCCTACACATACTCACACACTATTCCTCCACACACACTCACACTCTGCCCCACACACACTGTCCCCCCACACACACTCATACTGTCCCCTCACAGTGGGGAGCAGTGAGGAGGAGTGGGGAAACATGGGGAGCAGTGAGAAGCAGTGAGGAGGAGTGAGGAACAGTGGGGAGCAGTGAGGATGCGTGGGGAGCACTGAGGAGGAATGGGGAGATGTGGGGAGATGTGAGGTAAAGTGGGGAGCAGTGGATAGCATTGAGGAGCAGTGAGGAAACATTGGGAGGAGTGAGGAGCAGTGGGGAGACGTGGAGAGACGTGGAGAGCAGTGAGGAGGAGTGGGGAGCAGTGAGGAGCAGTGAGGAGGAGTGGGGGAGCAGTGGGGAGACGTGGGGAGATGTGGAGAGCAGTGAGGAGGAGTGAGGAGCAGTAACGGGAGTGGGGGAGCAGTGAGGAGGAGTGAGGGGACGTGGGGAGCAGTGAGGAGGAGTGGGGAGCAGTGAGGAACAGTGGGGGAGCAGTGGGGGAGCAGTGAGGAGGAGTGAGGAGACGTGGGAGACGTGGGGAGCACTGAGGAGGAGTGGGGGAGCAGTGAGGAAGAGTGGGGAGCAGTGGGAAGCAGCGGGGAGGAGTGGGGGAGCAGTGGGAAGCAGTGAGGAGGAGTGAGGAACAGAGGGGAGCAGTGAGGAGGAGTGAGGAACAGAGGGGAGCAGTGAGGAGGAGTGGGGGAGCAGTGGCGACACGTGGGGAGATGTGGAGAGCAGTGAGGAGGAGTGAGGGGACGTGGGGAGCAGTGGGAAGCAGTGGGGAGCAGTGAGGAGCAGTGGGAAGCAGTGAGGAACAGTGGGGGAGCAGTGGGAAGCAGTGAGGAGCAGTGAGGAGGAGTGAGGAACAGAGGGCAGCAGTGAGGAGGAGTGGGGGAGCAGTGGTGACACGTGGGGAGCAGTGAGGAGGAGTGAGGAGACGTGGGAAGCAGTGAGGAACAGTAGGGAGCAGTGAGGAACAGTGGGGAGCAGTGAGGAGCAGTGAGGACATGTGGAGAGCAATGAGGAGCAGTGGGGGAGCAGTGAGGAGGAGTGGGGGAGCAGTGAGGAGGAGTGGGAGAGCAGTGAGGAGCAGTGAGGAGGAGTGGGAGAGCAGTGAGGAGCAGTGAGGACACGTGGAGAGCAGTGAGGAGCAGTGAGGAGGAGTGGGAGAGCAGTGAGGAGCAGTGAGGACACGTGGGGAGCAGTGAGGAGCAGTAGGGAGCAGTGAGGAAGAGTGGGGACACGTGGGGAGATGTGGGAAGCA